TGTCACTTTAAAGTATGTTCTGGTTTGCGCACCACCCGTGAATGGACGAGTGAGTACTACGTTCACGGTGGTTGAGCTCTACACCCCCAACCGCCAGCCGTGACGCCTCAAACTGCCACAGCCAGGCAACAAGCTTAATAGCAGCCCCTACCCCGAATCGCGACCACCGTCCTAAGGACAACCGAACTGCAACGGACTCTAAAGCAAGATCGAGGACCAACTATTTTAATGGATCGGCACGGTATATTGATAGCTGCAATCGAAGAAACGAAGTCGCACAGTAAGTAAACCTTGCGCCGCCTGCAATGTGCTCCGTAAGGGTCACGAGCGAGACAATGGCTGAGTAAGAGCCGCCGTTCATTCGACATCACACTATGCAATATCGTCTTATTGAAGCAGATATCAACCGTTCTTTGACTTCAAAACTGTCAAACGATCGTAGTTGAATTCTATTATCAGAGCAGATAGACGACTCAACATTCCGAATCATGGTCGACAAATCCGCAACCACGTGTGCTAGCTGGCGGGCATCAGTTCGACAAAGTGCTCTCTGCTGCAGCAGGTGCTTAGGGGAAATCCCCTTAACTTTCCGGTTAAAGAAGCTGTACTGGCAAATGAGCATCATAGTCTACGCTATGTCGATCCCGTGGAACCCAGCACTAGAGTAGGATCGCGATCTTAGTTTCCTATCCGCGGCATTGTTTAACTTCTGCATCTCGAAGCTTTCTCAACCACTGCAGGGAGTTTCCCTGATATGCCACGCTGACGATTGTCTGATATTAACGTCCGGTAATGGCATTGATGGCCTGCGTTGGATTGTATACGGCTATTTCACCGATCTTTCTTCTCTCTTTTTTCCACCTGAATGAAGTAGGTCCAGCTACAACTAAAATTCTTATAGCCTGCTCTCAAATTGCAAGCCGACAGCACTTGAGGCAAAGAGAAAATAACGTTGTTGGCAACATAGTATAAGGTAATTGGCCCCCAGATTATGCTGCACTGTTTTGCTCGCCGAAGACTAGTAAGAAAGCAGTTCAAGAAGCTATAGACTTGTCAGAACTTTGCATATCGTAAGAGATTCTTGCTGGAGGCAGAGCATCCTCCCAGGTACGTCAAAAGACAGATCTATGAACTCACGTATAAGATCCAGACATACATAACTCAACCACTGGACTCAACAAAGTATCAAGAAACCACTAACGCCATACACAGGAAGTTGTTGTTATTGTAGCGGCTACTAAGCCCCGCTCGGGTCAGTTCATCCGTCAACGCTGTCGTCCGTTTCAGCTAAGGGGGAGGCCCAGGAAGTGTGCGACTTCAACAGGGTCTGTCCATAGGGACAGGGGCGTCAGCTGGGTGGGGTTCTCAGGGCATGCGAAGAGGTGCCGAGAGTCATGTGGCGACTCTCCACATGCCGGGCATTGGTTGGGAACATCCTCATTAATTCTGCTCAGGTATGAGTTTAGCCAGCTGCAATAGCCAGAGCGAAGTTGGGCTATTGTGGTGCGGGTCTCCCGAGGCAGACAAAGTTCTGTCCCGTGCACGTCCGGTGGTTGTGTGCCTGTGCATTCACAGGGCGGGAGTCTACATAATTCGAGACTGATTCCCTGTGAACTCCGAGGATTTTCGGGTTATTCACCATCGGTATGGTTACGCCATCAACGTGAATACTCAGTTGCAGTTTAACCTCATTCGTCCAGGTGGTGAATAGGGTTGCCGAGGATTTCGCAGGAGATAGGGCAAGGCTCCTTGTAGTGAAGAAGCGAGAAAGTTGGACGAGGTAACCGTTTACTTTCGAGCACAAGTCTTGATGACTCCACTCCCAGACGCCATGATCGAACAATCGTCAGCATAAGAGACAATATTGACACCCTCTGGTGGTTGAGGAAGGTTTGAGATGTAATAATTAAACAATAGTGGGGACAGGACACCACCCTGTGGTACCCCCTGTTTAATTCTACGTGGCTTGCTGGTTTTGGCTCTGAAAATTACTGACGAGTGTCGACCACTCAGGTAATTCGCCGACCACCGTTTGAGTCCCCGCGCAACTTCGTCTCTTGGACCGCAGCTATTAATATTCCATGCCTTCCCATGAAGACAGTTATCTCCTCGATCTTGCTCTGGAGTCCGTTACAGTTAAATTGTAGCACCTTTGTGTGCCTTGGGAGACCGGTTGTGATGTGTGGTGTTAAAGAGTTGTGTTGCCTGCCGGCTCCCTGCTGTATGTGCTGCAAAAGGGGGTGCTGCCTTGTGGTCAGTGTTGCCGCGAAACATTTTTAGTGGTAGCTAAATTCCAGCTAAAAAAGGGCTAAAAAAGAGCTAAAAGTCGTTGTTGTGGCTAAAAATGGTAGCTAAATTTTTTTACCTACATCTTATATATAAAAATAAGTGCACGTTTTTGGTGTGACCTCATAACTTGAGAACAGCTTCACCGAATTCAACCAAATTTATGTGGCATATTCGATTTATCATGCAGATGGTTTGTGCGAAGTTTTCCCGAATTCGGAAGAGGGGGCGTGGCACCACCCATACTAACTTAAATATAAAAATAAGTGAACGTTTTTGGTGTTACAATATAACTTAAGAACGGCTTCACCGAATTCAACCAAGTTTATGCGGCATATTCGGGCCATCATGCAGATATTTTATGTGGAGTTTGCCCAAATTTGGAAAAGGGGCGTGGCATATGTATGTATCTTATGTATACAAATAAGTACAGATTTTTGGTGTGAGCTTATAACTTGAGAACGGCTTAACCGAATTCAACCAAATTTATACGGCATATTCAGGCTATCATGCATATGGTTTATGTGAAGTTTGCCCGAATTCTTAAAAGGGGGTGTGGCACCTTCCATACTAACTAAAAATTTGTTGTTGTATATCTCTTGAAATATTTGTCGTAGAGTACTGGAAGTTGGTATAGAGGTATAACAAATAATTCCATACTCATGGACAAAAATGGGCGGTATTGGAAAAGAGGGAGTGGCACCTCACATCTTATATATAAAGAATAAGTGCAAGATTTCAACCAAATTTATACGGCATAGTCGGGCTATTATGCAGATGGTTTGGGTTAAGTTTCCCCGAATTCGGAAAAGGGGGCGTGGCACCACCCATACTAACAAAAATTTTCTGCTGGTATATCTCTTGAAATATTTGTGGTAGATTACTGGAATTGGTAGCTATACGTGGCCTGTTCAAGAGTTGGCATTCCAAATTGTTTATTTATTCATACCCAAGATGGAAAAACAAAAAATGTTGTATATCCAAATGTGTTGGATTAAGATTTAAAATAAAGAATCAGGACTTTTCATTCGTTTTTCAATATTTGGTGTAGAGAAGCACTCCGGGGTACTGCTAGTATAAATATGTAAGTATACACGCAATCATTTTCTATAATAACTGGTATAGAAAGACAATGAACTCTGAAAAGAATTAATATTTTATTCAACAAAAAAACTTTTTGTGTAACACATAATTTAATGTATAGTTAAATCGTTAACGGATAAGATAACGGCCCAGAAACGTAAGGAACATACATAGACATGTGTTTACTTGCCTTAAAGGAAAGGCGTTCGCTTTATGAGCGAAGAGTTAAATTCATGAAAATCATAAAAAAAAAATTTAATGTCAATGATGAATAAATTTTGAAAAGGGCTAAAAAAAGGGCTAGGGGCAATTTCAAATTTTTGTGGCCAAATTTAGCCACCAAAGGGCTAAAACGGCAACACTGCTTGTGGTGGTGGTTGGCGGCGTCGCGGGGGAGGTATGCGACTGGGCAGCACAGCAGGGGCCCACATAGTCACTCGTCCAATCACGCGTGTTGCGAAGTCCTGAGCATGCCCTAAAGTGGCACCAGCCAAGGCAGGAGTTGCACTTGACTGATGTCACGTTACGGTATATTCTGAACTGACAAACTGAGCAGATTGTCGGAGGGACTAGGAACTGCCGGCGGCGGTGTGTGGGTGCTATTGTGTTTGTTTGTGTGTCTATTGTTGTGTTGTGTTGGGGTGTGGGTGTGTTGGTTGTGTGCTGCACGGGCGTGTGGTGGTTTGCCGTGAGGGCGGTCCGATTCGCACAGCATGGTTCCACGAACGACGTGGTCCATTGCCGGTGCTTACGGAGGCCCGAGCAGTTACGGAGGTGACTCCACCCGTCACAGGCTTTGCACCTGACCGAGGTGGAGTTTTTATGCAGTCGTCTCTGGCATACGCAGCTGGTGTAAATTTCTGGCCCTGGGTTGGATTCTATGCCAGCTCTGAGCAGAAGGGTACGGAGCAGATGTAGCCCCATTATCGAACAACGCTTGATGGATTTCGCCGACCTAAACGGGGTTAGATTGCCGAAACAACAGCCCTTGGTCGGGTAAAACCCGATTCATTCCGGTACGTGGAATCGGCTGTCGTGGGAATGTACACAGAAAGTCTATTACCCTTCTTCACAGACTCTTTACCCTGTGCATGGCGTATTTTGACTTTAACTACCACACATCGCAGACGACGAGCTTTGGCGGCCGCGAAAAACCCGCGTAACTCTGAAATAATTAAGGTCTGGATACTATAGCAGACTCTACTCATACTTATGCAAACTCGACGCTGACATACCACAAGTATAGGTTCCCTTCACAACACTAACCACTTTCTCAACTCCCTCTCTCCCTTTGGGTCGAGCTTACCGTTAGATGAGCTTGATGACAACGATTTATGTACTTGCCGACTTAGCGATTTAGCGAGCGCTCAGTAGTTCCACTACGACAATAGCAGTGGTGGCACAAAAAATAAAATCGAAGAAGAACGACCTTAACTTTCATACTTAGGCCAGCTTTGTCGAGTAACTTTTAAAATTTATCCACCATATAACCACTTTTTTATACAACATTGTTTGTGTATATAGGCCGGATAAATTTTAAAAGCTGCTTGAGTAAAAGGCTCTTAAAGTGTTAAGCATTACATATTGTTAGGCTCTATTTAGTAGTTGAACCAATTTGCTAATCATTATGCTTCTCTCTTTCAGGTTCCTATTTTTGCTACGACAATCCCGGCGCTCTGCAAGAGGTCTTCAAGAAGGAACTAAATCTTACCACCACGGAGTTTACACTGATCTATTCCATTTATTCATGGCCAAATGTTGTGCTCTGCTTCATTGGCGGTTTCTTAATCGATCGCGTTTTCGGCATACGTTTAGGCACAATCATTTACCTCTTCATTTTACTAATTGGTCAGTTGATATTCGCTTCTGGTGGATTTTTGGGTGCATTCTGGGTTATGATTATGGGTCGTTTCATATTCGGCATCGGCGCTGAGTCATTGGCGGTGGCGCAAAATAATTACGCTGTACTCTGGTTCAAGGGCAAGGAATTGAATATGGTGTTTGGTTTACAATTGTCGGTGGCACGTTTTGGCAGCACTGTCAACTTTTGGGTAATGCAGCCGATATATGATTATGTTACGAAATTTTATGAGGGCCATAGAGCAATCGGAGTGGTGTTGCTGCTAGCAGCGGGCACATGTGTGTTGTCGCTATTGTGCGCTTTGATTTTGGGTAAGTGATTGAGTGGTTAAAGTAAGATATCTATTTCTATAATCTATATTTTGGTGTTTTACACGCTTTCTAGGCTGGATGGATAAACGTGCGGAACGCATTTTACAGCGCAACACTAATCCTTCTGGCGAGATTGCCAAACTGAGCGATGTCACAACTTTTAAGGTCAGCTTTTGGATGGTTTCCATTATTTGTGTGGCTTATTATGTGGCCATATTACCATTTATTGCTTTGGGAAAGTGAGTAGATACTCTTTAAAATAGTTTGAGTCTTTCTTTTCATTGTAACTTGCACTGCTTGTTTTTAATTTTAGAACTTTCTTCATGCATCGGATCAACTTCCAACCGGATCAAGCCAACAATGTCAATTCCATTGTGTATTTAATTTCGGCTATTGCTTCGCCACTTTTCGGCTTTGTTATAGACAAGACTGGACGCAATGTTAGCTGGGTGTTTTGCGCTACATTCTCCACAATTTGCGCACATGCACTACTCGCATTTACTCTGCTAAACCCATACATTGGTATGGTAGTTATGGGCTTGTCATATTCCATGTTGGCCGTTAGCTTATGGCCTTTAGTTGCTTTGATCATTCCTGAGTACCAACTGGGCACCGCCTATGGCTTGTGAGTGAAGTGAACAAAATTAATGTGTTTTATGGTTCGATTATGTATAGCAACACAATCTGAGTTGGGTTGCTGATAGGCAACGCTACTGAAATGAAAATGTATATTATGAATAGCAACTATAGTTAAGTGCTATAAAGTTGAGGATTATAGAATATTGAGATACCAGTTGCCATTGGCGTATGTAATAGGATTTCAGCTACTGTCACGCAACTGAAGTTCGGTTGTCATCCGTAATCGAGCCATTAGTTTACAAATTTACTTCTATTTACTATTTGCCTACGCACCTTTTCAGCTGCCAATCTGTGCAAAATCTTGGATTGGCTGTAATTACCATTGTAGCTGGCATGATTGTCGATCGCAGCGATGGCAACTACATATGGGTTGAGCTATTCTTTATGGGCTGACTTACTAGTAAGTTTCGCGCATACTTTACATGCATACATTTTTAAACTTTTATAAAATATGAATTGAGGGCCCTATTTTACTAATTTCTGTTGAATATTTTCTCTCCCTTAGTTGCTTTAATTTCAACCTGTGTAATTTGGGGCTACGACAAGAAGGTGAAAGGTAACCTGAATATGACGCCAGCACAACGTGTCCAATATGCTAGCGCAATGTATGTGAAATTCTAATGAAATGAAAATGCAAACGCAAACAAGTACATATAAATAGAATTTTTGTTAATCAAATTCGATGAATACCGGCATTAATGTATGCGCATATTTACAGACGTGCGGCTAATCAGGATAACGGCGTTTACTCGAGCGATCAGGAACCACTACTGGATGAATAGAAAGCGCTGACATCAGCGCAGCGAGTAGTAGCGCCGTTAGTATAGAGCGAGTGGCGGGAAAGAGGCAAGGAGTACTGGTCAAACGTGAAAGGTGGATGCTGTAATTTGCAGTAGGCCAAACAAAAAAAAACTAATCATAACTGTAGTTAGCAGAAAATATTTCTAAGATATTGCATGGAAATTTGGCGAATTTCGATTTCGATCAATGGTACCACCAACTAACAAAAACAACCACAACAACTGGCGCATGTCATACATAATTAACCGACTCACTATAGCATACATACTTACACACATTTGCACGCTTTCGCTAAGAAATATGTACGTTGCGTGGCACTTGGCAAATGCATACGTGCGTAGCGCTTTTGGTGATTTCTTATTTTATTTTAAATTTGTTTTTAAATTTGCAAGAAAATCTATTTTTACACAAAACAACTTTTGCTACAATACTATTATTAAACATTTTACCATATAACATATTTATTTTATACGCATAAAAAAACAAGCAGTTAACTCTTATACCAATATACATACATAAATATACATTATTGTGTGGAAAACTAAATGGTTAAAATCTTGTAGTTGTATTTAAATAGAAAACGCTTAGTTATAGGTAAACGCTGTTGCAATTTTCCAAATATTTTTAAGTAATTTTTTTAACCAATTTTTGGCATTTTTGCAGCAAATATTTTTTAGGCAGCGAAATTATGTAACAACTTGTAAACAAAATATATTCAAATTTGGACAAAAACACAAAAAAGCGACAAATTCATAATCTAATTGTTAGTCATACATAATTGTTTTAAAATTAATAAGATATAACAAAAATTTAAATAAAATTACAAATCTATTATAATGTTAATTACTGTATATTTGTCTATTAACAATTGAAACGCTTTAAAATGTGTGTTTAGTGTTGATATTTAAATGTATATGTATGTGCATAGAAAAAATCAACGCTAGATGATACTTATTTACCAGCTAACGTAAAGGAATAAAAAAAACAAAGCAATTAAATCAATCAGAATCGAATGTTGAAAAATATATGTAAGTAACCTATCAAATTTCTATATATTATAGCACAGAAATATTTATATTTAAATGTTATAATCGAAATTTGAACTCGGTCAAGTGCAGTGAAGATGGCGTGTCAGCGCGTGAGTACGGTATTATTATGTGATTTAGTAAAAGAAAAAATAAAGAATAATATACAAGTATGAATAAAAATTTTACTAACAGCCCGATTCTGTGCACTTGATAAATTGAAAATCTTTATAATTTGTCAATTTTTTATTATTTATCAAGAATTGACATTCTAGCACAGAAATCAAAAGCTCTTTTCTTGATTAATTGTCAAGATTGAAAATGCTATTGACAAATTAAAATTTCATGTGAAATGTATAAATTTTGTATATTAATAAATTTGTTTCTAATACTTCATGTGCCAGCATTTGAACCTGCGACAAACGGAATTATAGTCGACATCTTTACCTACTCGGCTACGGCAGTCAAAAGCTTTTCTGCTTTTAAATTCATATTTTTCATATGTGACAATGAAATCAGTTTCACTCATGTGGAAATCGTAGAGCTTTTTGTTTTATAAATATTGACACAGAATGCGAAGGGAGCTTTTACTTGATAAAAATCTTGATAAAATTTCTTTACAAAAAATTTATCAAGAAAACACAGAATTGGGCGGTAAAGATAAAGAAATAAATATAATGACGTATAAAATTAAATATAACGATGTACAAGTATGAAAAATAAAAAAAAAAAACACGAAAAAAAGAAAGCTAAACAAAAACAAGTTTGTTTCTTTTGTTGTATAGTGAGTTAGAGCTGCTAAGTGAGTTAGTTCCCCGCTCCTCCTCCTACGCGCTTCCAAGCGAACGATTTTTGCGATTTGTTATAAACTTGGATGTTAATTACTGCCTGATGACGGAAAATCCGTTGTTTTATTTTATTGGTTACTGCTTTCGTAGGCACAAGATGAGGGCTATGTTAAAGCGGCAGAAAATTTGGAAGTGGAATATGAAGGGAGTGATGCCATACTAGGCAACCTTAAAGTACCTGTATTGCTTGTTTTGATAAAAATTCATATTTTCATTAAACAGTGACTCGAACAACTGTTCACAAGAGGAATTTTTTTTTAAATTTTTTTTCAAGTAAATTTTTGACATTGACAAATAAATTTTTTGTTGTTTTTATAAAAAATTAACTCATTTTATAACAAAAGTTGAAAATTTTGTAAGAAATTTTGAAAGATTCAAAAAGTTTTCATTGAAGTTTTAAACTTTGTAAGGATTTTCTCAACACACTGAGGGACTCAATGCCGAGGGGGGACCCCTATTCGAAAAAATTAATTTGTTCTTTATATTTGGTGTTGGTCAGAAATCGGGCTCGATTCCAGGCCCTGCGGAATGGTAGTGCACACTTCTAACCACTACACCACAGCGGCCGCCAAAATGTTCAGCATGAAAAGAGAAATTAAGTAAGCCATGTCTGTATGTCCGTGTTTAACTGTGCACACGATAACTCGAGTAAAAATTGAGATATCTTAAAGAACTTGGTACGTATACGGAAGGTATTGAAAAATGGCCAACTTTGACAATCAGCCTCATTGCGAGAGTCGGGTCGAATGCAAGTCGTTTTTCGAGAGTGGAATCGTATCGAAAATTTCATGTTATTGCGTAAAATTTCGACTCATAGTTTTCGACGATTTTCGTCTATTTTCGATATATTTACTGTCCTTTTCAGATTCATCACTGTTTGCGAATAATTGCAAAATTTTCGCTTGCTGAAATTCGCAAAGCTAAATTTACCATAACCATGAGAAAAATATATTTGTGGAAAAGATTTTTTCATCGAGAGAGGGCTCGTGCGTTTCTATTGCCTACCGAACTCAGAGTAACATTTCTTGGAAAGAGTTATTCTTCGCTTTATCTCCAGACTGACATTACTGGTGGTAGTTATGCTGGATCCTAGGTAGACAAAGTCCTTAACTACTTAAAAGTTATAACAGCCAACAGTGGCGTGTGTAAGCATATACTTTGTCTTGTCCTATTCACTGCGAGACCAATCTCTTTAGCTTCTTTTTTTAAACTGGAAAGCGCTGCGCTTACGTTCCTTATGCCAGGCAGACGATGTCGATATAAGCACACGCCAGCTGCATCGTTCTTTTGTTATATATGTACATATATCGTGCCGCTGCAACCAGATTCGGCCGTCTTATTACGCTTTTCAGCATCAGTCGGACGCGAGTGATTTGCCTTGTATAAAACCTCGTTTGGTATTAAACGGCGCGAAGAGGTCCTTCCCAATTTGGAAGGAGCTGAAGTTTCTGCTCAACGTCACTGTATTAGTCACCGTATTAGTTTTTCGGGGATCCCAAATTTAGAGATGGCGTCGTTCAGGCTGTTTCTCTTCGTGCTATCAAAAGCGGATTTAAAATCGATGTGTCCATTTACATATGAAGTATATTCTTCAGAACGTGTTTTGAAAATCTGTTGAATGATGGACTTACTAGGTCTGAAGCCAAACTGATAAGATCGAATTAGTTGGTTCGTAACAGACTTCATCTTTCACACAGTATCGTCGACAGAACCTTGTACGCTATTTGAAGAAAGCTTATTCTGTGATGATTGGCGCAAATTGCGTGGGTTCCCATCAGCGAGTGCCGGTGTGAACCCTAGATATGTCTTGACATCCTGCACGTGGGCTCCGCAGACCATCTTGTATTTGCCCATTCGATAAAGTTATTTTCCAGCCAGCGTTTGCAAGAAGATAGCGAAATGGCCTCATTACCAGCGGTACTGATGGCACAGACAATAAGGAACCATTTCTTGCTAGTTCATCAGCAACACAGTTCCCCGGTGGGTCTCAATGTCCTGGCACCCATACCACATGAGTGGCGTAACTCCTTGTCAAGTCATTCAGAGCACTTCTAGGATACATTCCACGACAAACTTCGATGTAGATTTGTCACAAATAAGTGCTTTAATAGCTGTCTGAATATCAGACAAGATAGTTACTGCATGCATACTAATATGTAGGAGAATCGATCAGTCATCTTGCAGCCTTGTTGGTAGCTGTTCGTTCAGACAGAAAGACGCCACAGAGTTCTGACAAACGAAAACTGAGGCTGAGTGAGAGTTCTTGCGAGTATACTCCACTTCCAGGTGTATTTAACAAGGTGGTGTTGGGACGACAGCTGAGTTTTTCGC